GAGCTGTGCGGGTCCATTTACACACAGAATTTTTTCAATAAATACAGTACTATAAATGTATTTTCCTTATGATTTTTTTAATGACATTTTCTTTTCTGCTTTACTGAAAGAATACAGTTGTAATACATACCCAAAATATGTGTTAATTGACTCTTTATGTTCTCAATAAGGCTTCTGGTCGACAGGGAACTATTAGTTAAGTTTTTGAGGAGTCAAGAGTTACCTGTGGATTTTCAACTGTGTGGCGGTTCGTGTTCAAGAGTCAACTGTATTACTAACATGCTTAGAAAGAGAAAATATAAAAGCATAAAGCAAAAAGAGGTTCTGGAGAAGCAATCAGAGAACAAGTTCAGAAATTAAAAACTGGGTAACTGAAATAAAAACATAAGAGATAGAAGATAAAACCCAAAACATATCCCAGAAGGGAAAGGAGAAATGATAAAAAATAGGATATAAACAGGTAACACTACAGAACCAGCCCATGAGGTCCAACATCCAACTAACAGAAGTGTTTTTAACTGAAAGGACCCAGAAAAATGGAAGGAAGAGAATATACCAAGGCATATAATTATGACATTTCAGAATAACAATGATAGAAAAAACTACCAGAAAGTATCTAGAGACAGAAACCAAGTTCCTTATAAGGACAAAGACACAGAGGGCATTCGATTTCTTAAAATCAGGCCTACGAAGCTAGAAATCAATAAAGTAATCATTTTTAAAATGTGGATGAAAATTATCTACCACCTGACAATTATTCAAATTATCAATCACGTATAAAGGTGGAAAGTTTTCCTAGACATTTTGACATCAATGAAAGACATTTTGACATCAATGAAAGATATGTTCAGGCAGGCATTATTAGCTCAAAAAGGTTATTTTCCATGCATTTTTTTTCTCAGAAAGCGACCAGAAAATGTGCTCCTGCAAAACAAGATTATAAATTGAGAATGACGATGACATGAGATCCAGAAAACAAAGGTGCCAGCAGAGAAAGTCAAGGGGAGGCGAGATGGAAGGAGAGCTCTGGGGTTGGATGGCAGAGCGAGACCAAGGGGCAAAAACAGTGTGCACCCAGGAAAAAAGTAAGACTAGGAGGTAAACTGAAAAGGCAACTGTTAACTTCAGGAAAAATGAAGAACCATACAAGAAAGGAAGTGAAGTCGTATTACATCATTTGACCAGCAGGGACTATTTACACAGTTAAAATATAAATCTTGACTCTCAAATGAGCCAAAGGCTCTCGTTACCAATGGCATGCAAGGAAAGAAGTGGGGACTCTACCATGGTTAATAAATAATGCCTACGTTGCAAAATCAAGAACTAGCTATGAATAAATTATTTACGAATATGAAAGTAAATAGGCAAAACAGTGAAACAGAGGACTGAAGGGAACTACTTTATGCCTTTAGTGCTATTTTTGAAACCGCTTCTTTTGTTAAAAACACTTGAGAAGGGGTGCCTGGGTGGCTCAATCAGTTAAGCAGCTGACTCTCGATTTCGGCTCAGGTCATGATCTCATGGTTTGTGGATTCCAGCCCCACATCGGGCTCTGTGCTGACAGCGCAGAGCCTGCTTTGGATCCTTTCTCCTTCTCTCCCTGGCATGCTCTCCCTCCCTCTCTCTCAAAAGTAAACTTAAAAAAAAGGGGGGGTCTGTTTTAGATGTATTAAGTTTGAGATTCTTTTTAGACATCCAAGTGTGCTATTAAGAAAAGACATTTGGGTGGGGGGAGGACGCCTGGGTGGCTCAGTTGGTTACACGTAGTCTGACTTGGGCTCAGGTCATGACTGACTTTGGATCCTGTCTCCCTCTCTCTCTCTCTGCCCCTACCCAACTCACGCTTGCTCTCTCTCTTTCAAAAATAGAAAGAAAGAAAGAAAGAAAGAAAGAAAGAAAGAAAGAAAGAAAGA